GTGGAAACAAACAGAATCAATGAAGAAACACATCAAGAAGGAAAGATCTACTGGAATCACTGTACACTTAGGATTTATGGCTGTAAGTTTCTTAATGTATTTCACAAGGAAGATTAGTAGTGCTGAACAAAGACAACATTTATTGGGCCACTGGCCCCAGCACCTGCATTAACATAGAATTCATGTACAGAAAACACCCATCATCACCATGGGATGGTTACCATGATGATTCCAGAAAGGACCAACTAGGGTCAAAAATTCCCCCACCTGGGGACGATAATACGAAAGATAGTAGAATGAATCGGACATAACTTTCCTATGCTCATATATGAATATATGACCAGTGTCACTGCACATCATGTACAACCACAAGAATGAGAAGTTATACTCCATGTATGTATGAAATGTCAAAAAACATTCTACTGTCACGTATAACTAAAAAGAAAGAAAGAAAGAAAAAAAGAAAGAAAGAAAGAAAGAAAGAAAGAAAGAAAGAAAGAAAGAAAGAAAGAGAGAAAGAAAGAAAGAAAGAAAGAAAAGGAAAAAAATCCCCCACCCAATGTGACAGAGGACTCCAACATCAGATTGGTAAAGACTGCAGAAGATAGACCCCAGTTCTCACAGCAAACATAAAACAGTGATAAATTTAAAAGTGGCATTAACTTTCCTTTGTCTTTGTCTGCTCAGAGACAGCCCACCCTCTTTCTCTCCTGAGAGTGTTCTTTGCTGTCACTTATGATGAAAATTCTCTTCCTTGGCTTTTTATGTCTGACCTTAAATTTTCTTTTGTTAGGACATAAGAACCAAGGCTTGGAGCCTTGCTGCCCATGCTCCTGTGACATCATCCTGTAAAACAGTACCTTGCACACTGACTTTCACCTCGGTCCATGGATTGAGGGGAGACTGAGGATCATCCTCTGAAGATCACAAATTCCACTGTGTCCCCGATGACAAGTCATGTCATGGTCTTAAAACGTTCACTTTAGGGATGCTGAGGACTTCACCCAACACCTAAGCTTCCTCACAAGAGTGACTTAAGATTGTGGGGATTTTGTTCATGTACCCATGACAATAAAGGAGAACTGACTCCTTCTTTGGCTTAGAGAAGGCCTACATGAAAAGCTGAGTCTTTCTGATACTAAGGTGAAATAAAAGACAAGGTATACTCTTGCTGCCTGGCAAGCAGATGATTAACCTAGGATATACAGGAACTACAAAAAAAAAAAAACAAATAAAACAATCATATCTTTAAGGGTCAAGGTAACATTAATTTGTGCTGAATCAAGAAGGCCAGTGTGAAATTGAACAAAAATGGCTCAGGTCTCATTATGTAGCCCCTAGAAAAATAGAGACAAACTATAACCTCTATTAATTGGCAGGAGGCATCAGAAGCTCCAGCCGTGCAGTCCACTGAGCTCATTGCTGGGCTAAGAATTCAGGATGTTATGGGGTAAAATGTTTAAGAGTTTTTAAGCCTCTCTAATGTAATTTTCAACAAGAAGAATTTGTGGTAGTTCCAGTACCCACAGTCTAATTCTAGCCAGATGCTTTTCCCAATTTTTAAATTTATTTTTAGCCGACCACATGGCTTCAGTGGAAACTGAAAACGATAGTCAGACACAGTTTTCATCACATACACAGTGTGAAAATAGTAACACTTGGTGTGTTTCTGTGTAGATTATTTTTTTTTTTTAGGAAAGCCATAAAATGCACTGTGAAATAATGTAGTTTAAATATGCTGATGTTACTATCCAGAGTCTCTCCCAGGAAGTCAGAAAGATCAAGATAAGCAACACAATCATCTACCATCATCTAAATACACTGCAGCATCTTGTTCAGCACCTTTTATTCAGAGACTTTCAAGTGTTCTATATAGAATCAGTGGTCAATGGCACAGCATAAGTGGCTTGAACTGCATTTTTATGAATTGTCATAAGACCTGACCAAAGCTGAGAAATGTTTAAATTCTCTTTTCACTCAATATCCCCACCTCTCTCTCTCTCTCTCTCTCTCTCTCTCTCTCTC